AACCACTAAGAAGAATATATGCAGTGTATTATTTGTTGAAACTGTACTTCCGATTTGATTTGAAACTGTCTCATTGCTATCTGTTTATCAATAAAACTGTAGAAAAAAAAAAAAGACTTACAAAAAAAAATAAAATAAAAAAAATAAACCAAAGCCATGGAACTCAAGGACAGGGTCCGGGGGCAGGAGGAGTGTCCAGGGAGGCCTGAGGCCTTAGCTCTTGTGGCAGGTACTGCACGAACAATTGCGCTGCCTCGCTCGCTTGACCACAAGACGACTGGGGCTGTGCCCACTGCATCACAGGAGAAAAATAAGAGGTGCCACACTTGCTGTGGCCATTGGGGAAGGTTTCTGAGAATGGGAGGCACTAAGGCTGGGCTCGGTGGGCGAATCTGGTGGTGGAATGGGCTTGTTCTGGGGATGGCATGGGGGGAGGAAAGGCTCCAAGCCGGGCTGTGGGTCCAGGATCATGAGACTCGCAGAGCGGCCAGCTGTGGGGCTTGTGGCAGCTGGAGAGTGGAGCAGAGCTCGGCAGAGGGGCATCTGTGTCCCAGCTCCTCCTCCACCCTTGTGGGTGGGCTGTGCCCGGAAAGAATTCTCCTGGAGCATGTCTTCCCTGGGGCCCAGGGAACTGGTGATGGCTTGGAAGGGCTTTTGTGCCCCTCCCCCCACTCGCCAACACAACTTGGAAGCTGAAAGTGGCTTCTCTGAGGAGTGAGGACAAAACCACTTCAGAGGAGCTGCTGCTGTTGAGTCATATGGCAGCTTCCCTCTGTCATTACCTCATTAGAGAAAGGGGGGCACCCAGAGGCTTTGAAGCACCAAGAAAGAGCTCTGCCCTGGATCTAGCCAACCTTGCTCAAGGGGGCTAATTACAGAGCAGGGTCCTCCAAGTGTGATGTGCCAGTGGGCCTCTGGGGCCACGCAGAGTCATCAGGGAGTGGAGGGAAGGTGGCTTCAGCATCTGACATGGCGGGCTGGAGTATCTGAAGCCACAGACTGAGAGGCCATGACTCAGTGTGGCCTTCTTTTTTCTGGGATAGCGCAGCAGGTACTGTGCAGCTCAGTTGGAAGCCCATGCTGAAGGCGGTCCGTTTCTCAGGAAGCCTCTGAACTGAGCGTTCTACTCTCGCCTGTCATCTTGGACTGTGACAGGGTCGTTGTCTCTTCCAGGATCACGCTGAGGTTCTTTGGGGATAAATATTCAATTCCATCAGCTCCATAGTTGGTCAGATGGAAGAGAAAAGGCAGCTGGTCACTCCAACAGAGGAGATGAGCCGTGCTATCTTGGAAATATTTCCTTCTCACTACACCTGAAAATGCCACTTTTGTGGAGTTGCTAGTCTGCAAATCTTATCTGAGCACATACAATGTGTCATGCATGGTGGCAGGGACAAGAGGATGCTCCACCCTTGTCCAGCCCGTGTGTGTGTATAGGGGAGACAGAAGACAAACTGTAATCACTCCAGACTAGAATGGGCCCTGGGAAAGACAAAAGGGTGCAGATCAAGGTGGATGGAGTGACCCTGATTTTGAGGGGGGCTAAGCTCACTGCACAGGAAGCCATGGGCCTTTCTACAAAGAAGACAGAGTCCTTAACAGAGCATGTGGTATGTGTAAAGGCTTCTGGGGCAGCTGAGAGCCCAGTAGAGGTCCTTGGAGTAGAGCAGAAGATACAGGGAAGGATTCAAAACAGAGAAGTGGGCAGCGCCTGGAGGTCGCCTTCATATGTTCCAAATGGACAGACCCATTCAGGATTTCCAGTCCCAAGACGGTCCCCACAGCAGGCCTCCCTCCACAGGCAGGCAGATTTCTCACTCAGCTTTTAAGTCTCTAGATCTGAAAATTTTGTATTCTGTAGCCACTGAAGAGCTTGGAGAGTCTTTGCTTTGAAATGGAAGATCATTTTTTTTTCAGAAAAAAATGATCAGATTCCTCACGACCTCTTGTTCCAGGGAGAAGAGGCAGCATTTTATCACCGTGGCTTTGTACCACAGCTACAGCTAAAGCCATTTGAGTGCGTGCCAGTGTAACAAAGGGAAGCTGAAATGGATGACTCAGTCTTGGGTCGTGAGAGCTCAGGGAAGCCAGACGGCACTGCTCCTCTTTCCCCGGCCCTCAGCTTGGGTGCCAGGAAGGGCGCCTGGCAGGAGCAGGGCCCCGGGGGCCTGCTTGGGCCCAGCAGGTCTCCATTTAGCAGCCGCTCTGCGGTACAGCCTGGGGGCTTTGCTCACATGCCTGTTTTGAGAGGTCGTGGATGAAGGATGGGCTGAAAGTGAGTCTGTCATGAAGACTCTAAGCCAGCATCTAATGACATAGGTTGAAACACACTTTCTGACTGCAAGGGATCTTGGGGCTCACATGGTAATGGGTGTCACAACCCCTCAGGTGGAGGCTTTTGTCTATAGAGCATTTCTCAAACTCAGCTAAATATGACTGCTTATTCTGAGGAATACCTTATGGGCTGAGGAGTTTGTGGCTCTCAGTTCTGGATACACTGCTTTCATGTGACATGATCACCCTGCTGCTATTGTTGTCACCAAGAATAAATTTTAAAATAGCAATGAGCAACCATCCATTCATCTACTCAACTGCTGGTCCAGCATTTATTCAACCAACCACCTGTCCATTCATCTAGTCAATCATCAGTCTACCTGCTTGTCCATCTACCCTTCTATCTATCGACCCCTCCACCCACCTACTTGCTGATCCATTCACTCATCCATCCATTCTTTTCCCACCCATCCTCCATCTATCCTCCATCTGTCCATCTCAACCTGTCCACCTACCCACCCATATACTCATCATCCATATAGCCAAGCAAGCACCAATCCAGCTAACCACCATTTTTGGCACAGAGGGCTCTCTGTAGCCTGGGCACAGTACAAAGCTTTTGGTAGACATCCCCAGATGTCCTCAGGAAGCTTCTAGTCTCATGCAAAACTACACTCCACATACAGATAACCAGATCTCTGCATGGAAAATAATTTTTTTTCTGTCCTTAGGGGAAAGTTTTACAAGAAGTTAAAAAAAGAGAGCAGCTCCTCCTCTTTGCACATGCTGAAGACTATGTGGAGTAGGTGCCATTTCCACCTGAAGAGGGATTTGGACATGGAGAGCTAAAAGCTGGGGCCAAGGATCCCTGGAGCCTACCCTGCAACGAGGGAGCTTAGAGGAGCCGTCCTGCTTTCCTCCTTCACAGCTCCGCTGGGCTGAGTCGTGACTGCAGCACAGATGAAAGGCTGCTGCCTCTCTGCCTCATCCCTGGTAAGCCCTTCACTAATGAGGACTAATTTTGCATCAGCATGCCTTCTTTCGGCGCCAGCTTCAGATCCTTGAGTTTTATGCAGATCAGAGGTGGATGCGTGTTTGTGATAACAGAGCCCGCAGAGAAGGTCCCCAGAGCCCAGGAGAAGAAACAACACAACTGCCTAGCACTACTCACATTTCACCTGGGATGCCTAGATGCTGACTTTCCAGAATGTTCTATCATGGGGAACAGAGGTGGCTGAGAGGGAGCTGAGATCCTGGGTCCCCTGCAGCGAAATGGCATATTTACTCCAGTAGAACCATATGCTGGACAGCCAGTGGGTGTGGGTGGGAGCCAGGTCCTGAGCTTGGGGGCACAGGTCAGCAGGCAGCCAGGTACCTAGCCAGGTACCAGAGGTTCTATGGTAAGGTGGAAAACAGACAACCAACCACCACCGAGTCGTTAAATAGGGCGTGCACCCGCTGTGACTATTACTCCGGAGAAACAGTCCGAGCTATGGGTTAGAGGGTAGCTAAAGAGAGGGGAATGTTAGAGTTGTCAGCTTCTCAGGGAAGTGATCTCTGGCCTGAGAAGAGGCGGTACTAGGGTGGTGAAAAGAGTGGAGCTGACCATTGGACAGCCCCGGGAACCAGTCCTGGCTTTGCGGCTGGCTGTGGTGTGACCTTGGACAAGGAGACGGACTCCTCTGGCCCTCGGTGCCCTCCTTGGGCTGCGCCGAGGGAGGAGGAGAGGAGAGGCACGGGGTCGACCGAGCCAGCCCCTGGAGCTTGGCAGCGCTTCCTAAGGATCCGCTTTTGGCCTCTTCTCCCTGCCACACACACTGATTAAAAGCCCAGGTTGGCAGTTATTTATGTGTTTGATTAATTAAACAATTGGGAAACAAATTAATTATTACTTAACGAAGGCAGTTTGGACGACACAATCTTTGCAAACACGAGGCCTGGCGGGGAAAGGAACAAAAGTGATCCTCGGCGGTGCGAATGGGAACCGCTGAAGTAGAAAATCTTCAAGGTCCCTCTCATCTGGAAAATTTGCCTTTTCTAGCCGAGCGGAATGTGGCTCGCTGCAGATAAATGTTGACTTATGGTTTGAGCGGCTTATTATCTGTCACGGCGCCTTCAAATGGCAGCCAGGTAATCAACGCGATGGCACCTGCCTAGCGTTTATCCCAAGCGAGAGGCGCAGGGGAGACATTGGGCCGGAAGCCTGCGCGCGGTCCGCGGCGGCTGCGGTCTGGGTTGAGTCTGCCCCTGTCCCCTCGCCCCAGCCCTCCCGGCAGCTGGAGCTGGACGGTGGCCGAAGTGAGCTGCCAAGCCCAGCAGCCACCGGCCTAAGCCCTGCGCAGAATGGCCCTTGGTGGGAGGTGGGGGTTGTGGGTGAACTTCCAAACCACCCAAGTTTTTCCACCTTGTCAAGTTCTCATCTGCTTCAAGGAAAAGTTCCTGAGGATGGCGATGTGACCCCCTATTCCTACCCACCCCACCACTTCTGCCCCCCCCCCGGGTCCCCAGTCCCCTTAATAGCAAGCATGGCCTGAACACATCGCTTCATTTTCTCAAAGGTACTGCGCGATTTATGGCCTTCTCCCCTCCAAATTTGCCCTCACTAGGTACAGGAGAAATTCTGATTTGTCAGGAAGCTGTCCAGTCATCCGGAACCTTCCCCAGGGCCCGGAAGGTCGACTCCCTCCATGGGCCACATTAATTTTATTAGATGCCTTTTTCCAAAGCCAGGGAACAGCACAGGAGCCCTCATAGAGGGGCCCAGTTCCACTCCTGTGCACTGCCTGCTGCTGCTGTTGCGTTTTAAACAGTCTACCCTGCCCTCTTGTACCCAGTTCCCTCTGGGATCGGGCCTCTTGCATGTTACCTTAAGTTGCTCTATGTCATCACAAAGCCTAATGCTTGTCCACTCCACAAATTGTACCAAATGTTTGTTCAATACCAGCAGCCGATAGCTTCCTGCGATCCTGGCAATGGGTCCCTGCTAACCCGCTAGGAAGGAGACAGTAGCGGAGGCCAGATATTCTGCGCATTAGAAGAAGCAAAAGGCAGTGGGAGAGAGGTTTGGCTTGGAAAGCTGCAGGATTGGGGAGTGTTGCCCATCACCTCCTTTCCCAAGGTGGCACAGTCTCATTGCAGAGGGCCGCAGTGACACTAGGAGAGGCTTGGTACCTTGGGAGTGTCTCCATAGTTCTTGTTTAGAGCTGGAGAATGGTTCCTCTTGTACACTTTGACATGCAGCAGAATCCAAGTGCTGTCCAGTGCCATTTCCCAGGCCTCCCAGGCAGATTTGGCTTAGAAACCTCTGTATAGCCCACAGTGGGCACACACTGCAGGGGCCAAGTTAGCACGCTTGAGTGCACTGCTGATGGTGGGCTATGTCCACACGGCCCATGGGGGCTGGGGAACATGCTGGGGGCGCAGAGGTGGGTCCCAGGCTCTGACTTCTGATGCCCATAATTTGCTTGTCCTTTCTCACTCAAAGTGACATGATTCTGGAAAGGCCAGCACATCTGCTTCTCCTCAGAGACACATCTGTGGTTTATCATGCAGCAAGGACAGCCAGGGAACAGGACAGAAGCCTGCGAACACATGGGTGTTTGGGGACCACTAGTTCTTTGATTCTGCTGGTGGTCACAAATGAGATAAGATGTGAAGGGGCAGGCTGGAAAGACTGCAAAGCTCAAATTTTCCCCCCCTTTTCTCTAGTGGTGACAGGAAGTAGCACATGGGTTGTAATCAGGAGAGTGATGCCGACAGTCCTCAGGGTTTGAAGACTCATTCTGGCTATGGAATGGAAAGGTGAAACTGAGGTCATGGAAGTGACAGTGAGGAAACTCTGTGGGCCAAAAACCCCCCCCAAAAAACTGCACAGGCTCTAGTGGGCCTGGCACTCTGGTAACTGCAAGGGAAAGAAAAGTGAGGAAGGCAAATTCATGCCCTCAAGGGACTTGCATTCATTTAGGCCAAGCAAAACCAATCAAAACAATTACTAATGCAAAATTACTGATGGATATTCATTACCAGGAGTGGGGTAATGGTTTACTGATAGACTTGACAGGGAGCCACCGTCAGTGTTTAAAGCAAGAAGTTAAAGTATGTCATCATTTTAATTTGTGAAAGATTAATGTTTACTTCTGGCCCCCGAGATAAAAGGGACAGAATGGGGTAGACAGAGAACTGGACAAGACAGGTGATAATGAATGTGGACAAACATGGGCCAAAATGAAGCACTGAAAAGGAAGCCAACTCTCTGAAATCTGTGGACTAGGGAGGTAAATCCCAAACCAAATAAAGCAATCTTCATGGGAAAAAGAGACACATAGGAGAATCTGATGAGGTTGATGGTAGAATGTGTGTGTGTGGGGGGGGGGTGGAATTATACAGGGCAGGGAGCTTTGCAGTAATAAAATCCATGAAATCGTGTGGTCTTACCCAGAATCTCTGAGCTGAATGCCCCAGGGAGGCATTAGAGCTCAGATTAGCCATGGGTCAGTCAGGGCACTCATTGGAGAAACCAGAAAAGCCACACCAATGGACTTAAACTATTTCTTAAGTAATGACTACATTAGGACCATCCTAACAAAGATTAAGATAAGGCTCAGAGGAATCAAACTGAACCACAAATTGTCTGAAAAACTTTGTGCCCTAAAAAAATCTTTGTTTTATCATCTGCCCATCAAAACAGAACCCAAGGGCTGGGGAGATGGCTCAGTGGAATAAGCGCTTCCCTGGCAAGCGCAAGGGCCTGAGTTCAATCCCCGGTTCCACAAAAAAAAAGAGAGAGAGAAGTCAAAATGGAACCCAAAACTCTTTGAAAGCACCCAACCAAATCCAGACGAAACCCACTCTGAGCAATTGGTTTTTGCTTGCCTCACATGAATGCAAGTCCCCTGAGGGCATGGATTTCTCCTCTCTCTTCTTTCCCAAGCAGCTGCCAGATGTCAGGCTCACAACAGGGGCTCCAGGAGTGCTTACTGGAGAAAGCGGCCTCTACCCGACCATCCCACCTTCTCCCTTAGCACAGCTGATACCCTGTACACCTCGCGCCTGGCCCACACCACTCTCTGTCACTGCCGTGACATCCCTTTCTCCTTTCTAGGCACATTAAAAAGTTGGATAATGCGATCTACAATCAGAAGAAAATTAATCCACAAAAATAGTCCTGAAAAAGATGATGGAATTAGCAAACAAGGACATTAAAACAACTATTAAGATGTTCATTCAGTTCTTTAAAGAAAATATGAGTATAATGAGGACAGAAATTTAAGAAATAAAAAGAACCTAATAAAACTTCTAGAGATGAAAACTGTAATATTAACAATGAGAACTTTAGCATATGAGATTAAAAGCAGATTAGAGAAAGGAGAAAACAGGAGTAGTGAACATGAAGCATGACTACTCATCAAGGTGATGAATGTTAAAACTGCAGTAAGCAGGGGCCGGGGAGGTGGCTCTGTGGAATAAGTGCTTTTCTGGCAAGTGCAAGGGCCTGAGTTCAATCCCTGGTTCTGCAAAAAAAGAAAAATAAAAAAAGAAAAGCACTACAGTAAGCTAACGCTACTCTCATCAGGAGGGTTCAGATGAAAGCGACGTCACTAAGTGTTGGTGAGGATATGGAAGGACTGGA